GAACCACCAATCTTTCTGCTAGTAGTTGAGGGCAATACTGAAATAAAAAACACCCTCAAATAGATAGTCCAAGCTTTCCAGAACATTTGCAGGGATCTAGATATCCAAATGAGAAGTTTTTCCATTCCCTTTCCTGGTATACACCACTACTTCACTGTCCGGAATTTCTATCCACTGATCTTCTAAACAGATGGATAATGGGATTCTTTTCTCATGGCTTAACAAAGTAAATAGACCTGCAGCAAATTGGGTTTTGCCTCAAGAATTTTTTCCTCAACTAATCACTAATTTCACATGGAATGGAAAGAGACCTTAGATAAGCAAATCATTGCTGAAGAAGAAAAACAAAGCAGGAGGTCTCACACTCCCAGATCTCAAAACCTACTAGACAGCCACAGTTGTTAAAATAGCGTGGTATCAGTACAATGATAGACAGATAGACCAATGGAACAGAATCGAAAACCCAGAAATAGACCCATCCATCTATGGACAGCTCTTTGACAAGGGACCAAAACCCACCAAATGAGGGAGAGATAGCCTCTTTAACAAATGGTGCTGGCAAAATTGGATACTCACTTGCAGAAAAATGAAACAAGACCCATATCTCACCCCATACAGAAACATGAACTCAAGTTGGATCAAAGACTTAAATGTAAAACCCAAAATTAAAAAGTTCATGAAAGATAAAATAGGGGAAAATCTAGGGCCTAATTTATGGCATAAATAGACTATCAGGCATTACCAAGAATGTACAAGCAATGGAAGAGAAACTAGATAACTGGGACCTTTTTAAAACTAAATTCTTATGCACATTGAAAGACTTTTACAAAAGGGTAAAAAGAGAACTTACATATTGGGGAAAAATACTTCACTATGATACATTTGATATAGGACTTATCTCCAAATTTTATAGAAAACTTCAACCCCTCAACACCAAAAAGACAAACAATCCAATTCAAAAATGGTCAAAGGACATGAACAGATATTTCACTAAAGTAGATGTACTGGTGGCCAACAAACACATGAGGAAATATTGATGATCATTAGCCATTAGAGAGCTTCAAATCAAAACAACAATGAAATACTATGTCACCCCAGCACTAATAGAAAATTCAACAAAACAGAAAGTAACAAATGCTGGTGAGGTTGCAGAGAGATTGGAACTCTTATACACTGCTGGTACAGCTGCAAAATGGTACAACCATTATGGAAAGAGGTATGGCATCTCCTTAAAAAACTGAAAAAAGAATTACCACTTGATTCAGTAATTCCATTACTAGGAATATATCCTAAAGAGGTGAGAGACAGGACATGAACAGACATATGCACACCCATGTTCATCACAGCACATTCACTACAGCAAAGAGATGGAAACAACTTAAATGCCCATCAACAGATTAATGGATAACCAAACTATGGTACATTCACACAATGGAATACTAACCAATATTAAAGATAATGAAGAATACATGAATCATCTTCTAACAAGGATAAATTTGGAGGATATTATGCTGAGTGAAATAAGTCAATTGCAGAAGGACAAATATTGTATGAGCCCATTATTGTAAAAAGTCAAGGAAAGGTTTACTCAGGGAAGGAAATTCATTTTGTTGGTTACCAGGGATGGGAGGGAAGAGGAGGAAAAAATTTGGATTAGTTGGGGTCACATGTTGATTTGGATGAGGGAAAGGATAGTATGGAAAGAGTCTGTGACCGGCATGATGAGATTAGGGAAAGGAAGGACACTGAAACGTGCAAATAAGATATAAACAACAGAGGCAAATAATAGTACATGCACAATACTGCATTACCACTAACACCAAACACCAGGCCATGGATAAATGCATAGACACGTGAAAAGATCAGGTGGGGGTAGGCAAACAGGAATATACCTGAGAACAAGGATAGATTTTGCTGAAGATTATCTTACATATGTATTTATGCTACAAAATTAGCCATATACTTTACAGAAGCAATAGAAGTCAGAGTTGGAATAACTTCTCAGAGACAACCAAACAACTTGAGAGAGAGAATCACGAGGCCTGTGGACTCGGGACCAGAGTCTCAGGGGACATTATGCTCAACATGATGCACATACATAGCACATGAAAATCTTCTTTTACAACCTACTTTGGTGAGCAGTGACTGGGGTCTTAAAAGCTTTCAAGCAGCCATATAAAATGCTACTATTGGTCTCCTCTCATCTGGAGCAAAGAAGAGTGAAGAAAATCAAAAGCATCTGGAAACAATTAGTCCCAGGATAAGAAGGACCACTAGGACCTCAGACTTCATGACCCCAAGACCAGAAGAACTAGATGGTACCTGGCTACCAATGCCAACCACTTGGAAAGGGATCAAAACAGGAGATCCTGGTTCTCCTTCCTCCAGAGTGGGAGTGAAAATGCGAAACAAAATTCAAAAACACAAAAATGACCAGAATTACTGTCTGGATAGAGATTGGTGGAACCCCCAGGACTATGGCTCTGGGTTACCCTTCAGGCCTAGAAATGGACTCACACCCATGGATTGGTTCTCAGCCCAACAGTAGAAAGAACTTCATGCAGAACACCTACCCCAGGGCGATGCACCCACCTACTCTAAGGAGATGCACTCCTTAGAGCAATCAGCCATGAGACACCAGAGGGGCAGCATTCACACAGAGGGAAAGCTGGACAGACAGGAATGCACAGTTAAGAAGGGCACAGGGAGGGGGGTAGTCACAGAGATAGGAAGGGAGGAGAGTTTTTTGTGGGTGGGGATGGTAATTGGGGTGTGAAATCAAATGTGCATAAACTGTTGAATGTAAAACAAATTTGCTTTGTAAATTTGCACCCAAAGCACACTAAAATTTTTTTAAAAAGATTTTTTTTTTCCTCCAGATAAACTAAATATTTTCCCCAATATGCCCCTTAGTAAAGAGTGGGCCACCCTTCTACATGCCCACAGACCCTGGTGTCCCCATCCTTCCAACCAAAGTTCAAGCCCTGACCCCACATAACATGGTACAAAAAACCCAAAACAAAACCCATTGACAAAGAGTCTATTCTGACTCATAGTGATCCTATAGGACAGAGTAGAACTGCTCCACTGGGTTTCCAAGGATGTAATCTTTACAGTAATAGACTGTCACATCTTTCTCCAGTGGAGCGGTTGGTGGGTTCAAACCACTGACCTTTCATTTAGCAGCTGAGCACTAACCACTGTGCTATCAGAGCTCTTTAACATAGTACTCCAAAAACCAAACTCACTGCTGTTGAGTCAGATCTGACTCATAGTGAGCCCTCATTGGGTTTCCAAGACAGTATCACTACAGAAGTAGATTGCCCAACCTTCCTTCTGAGGAGTAGCTGGTGCATTTGAACCACCAGCCTTCTGATTAGCAGTCAAACGCCTTAGGCACTACATTACTAGAGTTCCAGCATACTAGATAGTGTTATTTATGGCTTAGAAGAATGGACCACAACAAAGTCAACTCTGTGAGATTGAGTAAACAAACATAGAAGTACATACTTTTAAGTAATCCACGTAAACCAAATTCAAACCAAAACAATACCCTAGGATGGTGGCTGAATCTTGGAAGTGAGGCCATTAAATTACAAGATATATGAAACCTCCCCTCAAAGACTTCTCTATTTTCCTTTCTACTGGTGATACTTAAAATCCTTTCCAGCTCATCCAGGAAGTGTTTTCCTTATATCAAATCCTCCCATACCAGCAAGACTGATTCCTAATTTATCTGAGAATAAGAGACAAGAAATCTTTTGTACTGAGGGTCCACTTTAAAATATTTTGCACATTCCTTCCCTGTATAGTGAAAATCGTAAGAGTGTCACTCCTCTTATATATGAGCTTTTGTATCTTCCAGAGTTAAGAAGCCCTGGTGGTGCAGTGGTTAAGCGCTCAGTTGCTAAATGAAAGGTTGGTGGTTTAAACCCACCAGCCATGCCCTGGTAGAAAAGTTTTTTTTTTGTTGTTTTTTTGTACCATAAACAGGCATGACTTTCAGAGTTCCCAAAAGGTCCTCAAAATTATATTTTCTTAAAAAAGCTGAAAGACAAGAAAATGCTGGTAATTTTCTTTTACTTCTTGGCTTTGTAAATACGCATGATATCTCTTTGTTGTTGTTGTTATGTGCCGTCGAGTCGGACCAGACTCATAGCGACCCCTCCTTGAGTTTCCGAGGCAGTATCACTACAGAAGTAGGATTGCCCAACCTTCCTTCCGAGGAGTGGCTGGTGGGTTTGAACCACCAGCCTTCTGGTTAGCAGTCAAGTGCCTTAGGCACTATGCTACCAGAGCTCCTAGACAACTGCAAAAGAGAACTCTTGTTTTTGTGTAAATTTCAAGATGACTTTACTTTTACTTTAAAAAAAAAAAAAAAAAAAAATCCATCTCTCAGCAGATGACAAACCTGCAAGGAATAAGAGGTATGCTTGCCTCCTCTTGGCCCCCAAGCATGGGATCCCAGGGGTCACTCAGGCTTGGGTAGTTTTACCCAGGGGACCTCTGAATGTGAGCTTGTTGGGATGGTAGGGACTTAATCATGGTAAATACCTGATAGTGTTGGTAAAGGTGAGGGTTGGCCTTATAAGAAGAGCATTCAGCATTAAAATGACCTGGGTCATGCAAATGATTAAATGTGCCTGACTACTAACGAAAACTTTGGAGGTTCATTCCACCCAGAGACACCTTGAAAGAAAAGCCTGGTGATCTACTTCTGAAAGACCACAGCCTTTGAAAACCCTATGGAGCACAGTTCTACTCTAACACACATAGAGAACTAATATTTTATTGTGAATTTGCAAACAGCCATGTTTGGTCCCAGCCCTCAGATTCCAGTGCTAAATAAGGGAGTGAATGCAGAGTGTCATCAAGGGGACAGGCTTTGTCATGCTTCACAGCAGCATGCAGCATGGAACAAGGAACACTGTAGTGGAGGAAGGACAAGCAGGAAAACACAAACCTGAGCAAAAAAGTTAGAATTGACTTTAGCATCTTACTTGTAGTTTTTCTCCCAGAATTTGACTGGCCTGACATATGATGTGATGAAAATGACACTCCCAAGAAATGGGCTCAATGGAGTAGAAACGATTGAGGTGGCAATCGTTTGAAAGAAAAGCATTGCAGAATCTGAGATTTTTGAGTTAAGGCAAAAACAGTTTTATTATTTCATATATTGACTACCTTCATTTAAGCCATTTCCTCACCCAGGAAAGAAAGAAGGATATACACTTAATCTCTCTATGTGCGTATTTAAAAATATAAAACTTTCAGTAGCATCCTGCTAAGTCTCATCTCACCACCATGTTAACCAAATGACTCTCATAAAAAACCCAGCAGTCTCAGTATGATTCATGACAAAGATTTAATACCTAAGAATTGAGAAGAACAGTTTCTTTGTTCTAAGAGATCATTAACTGAATAAAACACATTGTGGCATATTTCCTAAAGTACTAAGTTGTTTTTTGTTTTATAAATAATTAAAATTAAATTACATTTCTTAGTATAAATAGATGGCATTGTTTTGGAAGGTGTCATCTCTGTTTTATAAAGAGTATTTTTCCACTATCAAAAATATATTACTTATCATACGTTGAACACTAATGACTCAATTCAACACATCCCTAGTTTACAACCTAAAAACTTATACCCATGAAATCACAGCATTTTGCTGGTGGCTGAGTCTTTAGCAGTCTATATGGGTTTTTCAGTTACTGGCTTGCCTCAGTCTCACATACTCTGGCTGATCGGAAATGTAATTGCTCAACATTGAAAACAATTTGGCAGTCTTTTTGGCTTAGACTCCTTGGCTCTCTGGAAATGGGGTGGGGGGAGGCAGTGTCAGATGCAGTTGTCTTCTCAACAGACTAGGTCCCTTCCCAGTCTCTGTCTGCACTACTGGAGAACTTCACTCAGCTGGTCATCATGCCCATGGGGTTATAGTGGGGCCTGCAGTTGGAAGAGCAAGAAGGAACTGAGAGCAAGAATCCATGAGGATGATAGAGCTCTGCGGCCCACACATGAACAAAATTCATTGACCTACAGGGTGTGAACGTGGATTATTTTACTACAAATCTGGTCCAATCTACTGTAAATTTGATTGTCCCACCTGAAAGGGGTCAGATGCAGCTTTTTACTATTGGGCCAATGGGGGTCATATTTCTTTAGCCCATGTTCATGTTCAAAACGTTCTGGTAGAAAATGAAAAAGAAATCCTTAGCACAGATAGAAAGACAATTGCATTATTAAGCACTCAGATCTGAGGGCTTTAACATATTGTTAACAACATGGCTTAAAATTATGTGTTAAGCTGAAGGGGTGAGGAGAGGTTTCCTTAAAAGCTCCAAAAAATCCCCCAAATCAAACTTACTCCAGTCGAGTCAATTTGATTCATAGCGACCCCTCCTTGGTTTTCCAAGGCAGTATCTCTACAGAAATAGATTGCCCAATCTTCCCTCTGAGGAGTGGCTGGTGGGTTTGAACCTCCAGCCTTCTGGTAAGCAGTCAAATGCCTTAGGCACTACACCACCAGAACTCCCTTTATATGGAAAATATGGAAAAATGAATGAGCCTTGTGTTATTCATAAACACTTGCCTTCCATTCATGTAGATTTAATCTCAGATTTTTGCTTCAGGAGTAACTGTGCCATTTTTTTTTTTTTTTTTTTTTTTAAACTTGCTATTCATACCCAAACACTTTCAGGTGTTAAATGATCCATCCTCCATTAATAATTCATTCCAGTGTTAACTGTTTAGGTTTCAAAAAGATCTCTATTGTGCTACAATCTCAATCCAATTCCATCACTTTGACCTAGGTTCAAATGGAGAGCTACAGAATAATACGCTACCATAATATCTATGATCACCCATCAGTTTCCTCTTCACTTGAACACTGTAAATACCTAAATATCTCAGCCACAAAACACACCAGATTAGCCCTGGCCCCTGTCACTAGAATAAAGGAAACTGCTGGGAGATGACTGTGAGAAAATGTACTGAAAAAATATTAGAAGGCAGAGGAGAGTCAGAGAGGGCATTTTCTGAGGGGAGGTGTTGGAGGAAGTGGCAGGAGGAGGAAGTTCATATTAGGTGACCAAGGTTGTATTGTGCAGCTGGTAGTTGAGCCAGGTCAAAACAAACAGGAGTCAAGGTTGGGTGATGTTAGAGGGTAGAATTGTTTTTCTTTCCAATTCTAAAATTCCCCTAAGATTGTTGTTGTTGTTGTTGTTATGTGCCGTCGAGTCGGCCCCGACTCATAGCGACCCCTCCTTGGGTTTCCGAGGCAGTATCACTACGGAAGTAGGATTGCCCAACCTTCCTTCCGAGGAGTGGCTGGTGGGTTATGCTGTATATTATTTAAGTGCCAGAAACAATTGCTCTGAAATTAAGACTTAGACTTAAATGAGGAAAATACTACCAGCCTACAAACAATGCTCAGTGTGGTAGGAAAATAAATGAAATTTAATAGGTCAGAGCATAAGTGATAGTTGGCCTCAGAGGTTATTTTATTTAGGGAAGACTAATAAAGCAATTAAGCACACTCTTAGCAAACATGAAAGATTATGTCTATTTCTGTTGAGAAGGAGGCCCAGTAAGCCCTTTTATTTTTCTTGGTAAGAGGTTAGTCTAAGAGCTTGATTATGACATTTTTTAAAACTTCAGATTTATTTGAGTACATTTTTAAATGAAAAAAAAAATACTGTCAATAATTAAAATTTAAAAAAAAAATCCTTAGAAGTACATGAGTACATATCAAGTAGAAAGCAGCCTTCTTCATGTACATAGTTAACAGAGATAATCTGGTTAGGTCTTTATAATTATTAGAAGACAACAATCTTGCAAGTTCTCCATGAATATTAAAAGGGTGAGCATTCTCATCTTTCCCAGGAGGTTATAAGCTCAGAAACTACCAGAGGCTACCAAGGGAGAAAACATGCTTGTACTGGATAAAGCAATTTACTGAACAGTACCCTGCTGTTTGAGAAGCTAATTCAATTCCAAAACAGAGCAAATCACTCCCTTCTCAATGACAGGATGGAGTCCACAATGCCTTATTAGAGTGATAAAATAATTAACATTTCAAAATTAGTCAAGAGGCAAGGCCAGCATTTAGGAATCTGTTAGCTTTGTCTTGATGATCTATAAATCCAGTTTACTTAGATATTTATCTCATTATATTTTGAGTGACATGATGTTATACTCCTAGTAGCAAATACCTACCAATCAAGAATGGGAGGCACGTATGGGTAATGGCAGGGCAACGTAAGGGCCTTCTTAGCTGTAACATAATTGCACTAGTTAGTCTCCAGGGTAGATTGTAAGCCTTTGTACCTTAGCGAGGTACAAGGGAAGAAGTGAATATCACTAATAGTGACATTTTTAGGAGCAAAGCATAGGGATTGGTTGAGTAGTTTAAAACAGAATGATCAAATATTCAATAACATCTATATTTCAAATATATTCAATTGCTTTTGAAAATGAATCTACCATCATGAAAGTAATTTGATACCATGTACAGTGTATGCAATCTGAGCTAGATACTAATGCTGCTTTTATTCTTACAGGAAATGTTAAGAGCCAAATATTATGAGCTTGTGTGTGAACTCTCAGCACACATATAGGTCAGGTAATTAAAACTTATGACTCCCAGAATGGTCTTAATTTAGCTGTGGAACTACAAGGAGTAATTAGTATTACTGAGCTTACCTAACAAGGCATTAACAACAACAGTGAATGCTGCAGATACACACAGACCAAGTTATGGTAAAACTGGGAATCGTAATTTTAAGTCTTAAATTCTTTGTGCAACTCCTTCAATGACAAATTGCATTAAAATAATAATTTTCATTTAAAAACATACTTTAAAGTCTAGATATGAAACTTTAGACACACATCAAAAATAAAAATCACCTCAATCTTTTACCTCATTGTTTATGTTTTAAAAGAATGTTTAGGAAAACTAAAATTACTGGCATTATATAAAAGGACTGTGGTTAAACAAAACATGTAATGTACAAGCTCATGCTTCTGTATAAATTTTTTCCCTTGGCTGTTCTGCCAAATAACCTTGAAATACTTTTAAAATACCACTGTAGTTCTAAGAATGGGGTATGAAACAGTGTGCATTGTAAAGTCAGCTTTTGGTATGCTTAATTTTTTTTTCCCCCTCAAACAAATGAGCCTGAGGAGAGCATTTTGAAAATCTAGAACGTATTATCACTTAATAATGATTCTAAATAAATTTTCATCCCTGTGCACAAAGTTAAGATTCCAGAGATTACTCTAATAAACCTTATGTAAACTGTCATATGTAAAACAAAATCTGAATAGTCATTTAAACTAGCTAATAGCACCCATGGTGCGGTGCCTAAAGTATTTGACTGCTAATCAGAAGGCTGGAAGTTCAAACCCACCAGCCACTCTGTAAAAGGACGATGGGGCAATCTATTTCCATAAAGATTTATCTCCTCAGAAAACCAATGGGTTTGCTATGAGTCAGAGTCGACACAATGGCAATGGGTTTGGTTTTCGGTGGGAATATCACGCATAGTGAGATATCAGAGCCTAGAACTGTGGCTTTCACACACAGTGGATACATGAATCACTAAGACTGCTTGTGAAGATCTAGATTCTTGGATTCTCAAACAAAACCAAACTCAATGCCTTTGAGTTGATTCTAATTCATAGTGAACCCCATTGGGTTTCCAAGGCTGTAAATCTTTATGGAAGCAGACAGCCTCTTATTTCTTCCATGGAGCAGCTGGTGGGTTTGAACCACAGAACTTTCGGTTAGCAGCCCAAAGCCTTAACCACTACACTACCAGAGCTACACACTGAAATTTTTATTTAGAAAGTATGTTCTGGGCTCAGCAATCTACTTAACAAGCTCTTCCAGGGATTTTGATGCAAGTTGTCCCTGAATATTTAGAAAGTATAAATTCATTAAGAAGGAAAATTTCTTGAAGGCAAATTTTAGGCCTGAGTCAAAGATATTTTTTATTAATCTCATATGTATATGTATGCAATACATATGTATATGTATGCAACTACAAAACAAAACCCTAATTTATCTTTTTAATCTTCAAAAATAGTTGGACAATTCTGTTTGTACCTAATTCTCAGTTTTGAATACTACTCAAATATATGCTAAGCACATTATAAGATAGTATTACATAATTTATAATGTTATATTGACCTGCATCAATCCTATCTTCAGTGTTTAATAATAGTAAATTGATTTGCACTATCTTGCACAAGTCAATTAAGTCACTTTGGCAAGATCTTTCCATTTATAAAACAAGATATCTTCGAGCATATCTAGGCATGGGAAATAGAAAGATCAAAAATAAAATTAAATAAAAATAACTCCTGAGTATGCATTAAGAAGCAGGAAGCGTTCAAAATTAAGAAACATCTTTTAAGTTTAAGTAGCCTAAAGGGAATCCAAAGTGCCTCCCCATGTCCCCATTAAAATGTAATCTTAAAGACTTTAAAATCTTTTATTTCCAGGGTTCAATAAACAGCTTGCCTCCATAAAATGTGAATCTCAGCTCACGGGTGGATATAGATGCAGAAAGGATACGAGGGATTGCGAAGAGCTGAGCAAACACATGAAATGAAGAACCCCAAGCCATCTGCCAAGGAGCCACATATGTCATGATGAACTGTAACTTGTGAAGCAGGTCCTCGAGCTGAAAGCAAAAGAAAGAGAAATTCATCAGAGATGACAACAACTGTGGTAGCTATGCCAAGGTCATTTGAAGCACAGTGTCACAGTTGGGAAGTGCAGTGAAACTAGTGCTTATCTTCTCACTCATAGTTTCCTTTGTCCTCTATGCAATGCAGACATTTAGTGATATTCTAAAACTACAAGCTGATAAGGAAAAACCCTGTGTTTCTCCTAAAAAAAAATAAATAAATAAAATAATTGCCATAGAGTTGGATTCTAACTCATAGTGACTCCCATTGGGTTTCCAAGACTGTAAATCTTTACAGAAGTAGATTGCCTCATCACCCTCTCACAGAGCAGCTGGTGGGTTTGAACCACCAGTCTTCTAGTTAGTAGCCAGATGCCTTATCCACTACACCATCAGATCTCCTTGTGTTTCTCCTAAGTATTCATTTAATCACTTCAACCTATGGATACGTAGTTCTCTTTGCCTTTCAGGGAGGGTCAATCACAGCTTGATTTCCTCTTTTCTGTATCAGGTCTTTTAGAGAGAGATTCATACAAAAACCTATCATTTTTGGCATTGTTAATATTTTTGTGTATTAATTGCATCTTATACCTTCAGCTACTCTTGCTGGAGAAACTAAGTACGTACTGCTGACTTACATGTTAAAATGTACTATAGAAAGCCAAGATATGATATGGAAGCTATTATATTTGCTAGACAAACCAGCATCAAGGGAAAAAAGTAAAAAAGATCTGGGCGAAGGTAAAGAGAGACTGATGTAGAATGAAAATGAGTATGTACACATGAACATGTTCAGTGGTTTTGAATGAAAATATGGACTACCAATTTGCCAAGAAGAATGAATAAGAACAATGGGGTGTCCTGGCTGTGGTTCTCTGTTTTGTGGTAAGAAGTGATTAATTAATCCAGATGCAGAAAGATACTGCTCCCACTTACAGATATGGTGAGCAAATATCCTACCAAGATATTCAAAACAGGGACTTCTGGTAAGATGGTGGAATAGACAGCAGCTACACAGACCCTTTTCAACAAAGAAAAGACAAACCAACTGACACAGACACAGACACAGACAATAATCCTGGAGCCCTGAGCTCTGAAAGGAAGGATACAGAAGTGAATTAAATACCACTAGTACCCACCATCCACTCCTCGGAAGGAAGGTTGGGCAATCCTACTTCCGTAGTGATACTGCCTCGGAAACCCAAGGAGGGGTTGCTATGAGTTGGGGCCGACTCGACGGCACATAACAACAACAACAACAAGTAGAAGAAACTGGTTAAAAACATTGAATACAGAGACAAACAGAGCTGCAGACTGTCAGATATCCTGATGACACAGACAGTTTCAATATTTACAAGTGGTATTAGGACCTGAGCCATAACTAAAAATCAACTCTGCTTGTCATGGGCTGCATGGACAATTGCACTGGTGGCTGACAATTAAAAAGGGAAATAGCAAAGAGCGAGAAACAGAGCTGTGAAATTTCAGCTGTCTGGATGGTGCAGCCATTTTGGTTGTTTACAACCAGTGTGGCCATTTTGGATATTTAAAGTGGTAGCTTCAGATAACGTAAGAGTGACGTAAGAATAGACTCCACTTGCTGAGGACAGCACAGCATGGGCAAACACACTGGAAGCTGACAACTGGAAAGGTGCAACATTTTCCTTGTTATTATTATACCCCACATGCTGTTGGGGAACAGAGGTGTAACCATCCCCCATCTCCACCTATCTTCTGGACCAGAAAGTATTCCATCCCAGTCTGTGTTCTGACAGAGCCTGGGTGCCATGCCCAGCCCCACCACCACCCAGAACTTTTTAACTTTTTCTTTATTTCTTCCTTTCTTTTCCCTTCCTAGGTTCTAGTTGTGTTTTTTTTCTGTCTCTTCTTTCTTGGTTCCCATCTTTTTCCTTTCTTCTAGTCCTTTCCATCCCTTTTCTTTTTACATTTTTCTCATTTTCTTTTTTTTTAAATAATTCTTTTACTCTTGTTGTTGTTAGGTGCCGTCAAGTTGTGCCATCAACTCATAGCAACCTTATGCACAGCAGAATGAAACACCGCCTGGTCCTGTTGCAGCCTCACAATACTTTCTATACCTGACTCCATTGTTTCACCCACTGTATCAATCATTGAGGGCCTTCCCCTTCTTCATTAACTCTCCACTTTATGAAGCATGATATCCTTCTCCAGGGAATGGTTCCTTCTGACAGCATGACCAAAGTAGGCAACACAAAGTCTGGCTATTTCCACTTCCAAGGAGCATTCTGGCTATACTTCTTCTAGGACAGATTTGTTAATTCTTTTAGCAGTCCATGGTACTCTCAGCATTCTTCTCCAACATCACAACTCAAAAGCATTGACTGTTCTTCGGTCTTCCTTATTCATCACCCAGCTCTCTCTTTCATGCATAAGAGGCAACTGAAAACACTATGGCTTGGGTTAGGCACACCTTAGTCTTCAAAGAGATATATTTGCTCTTCATCACTAGAAAGAGGTCTTTTGAAGCAGATTTACCCAACATAATATGTCATCTGATGTCTTGACTGCTGCTTCCATTGTTGATTGTAGAACCAAGTAATATGAAGTCCTTGACAACTTCAATCTTTTCTCCATTTATCATGAAGCTGGAATTTTGTTTTCTTTATATTCAGGTGTAATCCATACTGCAGACTGTAGTCTTAAATCTTCATCAGTAAGTGCTTCAAGTCATCCTCACTTTCAGCAAACAAAGTTGTGTCATCTGAGTATTGCAGGCTGTTAATGAGTCTTCCTCCAATCCCAATGCCATGTTCTTCATATAATCCAGCTTCTCAGATTATTTGCTCAGCATACAAGTTGAATAAGTATGGTGAAAGGATACAACCTTGACACACTCCCCTCTTGATTTTGAACCATGCAGTATCCCCCTGTTCTGTTCAAATGACAGCCTCCTGATCTATGTACAGGTTCCTCATGAGTACAATAAAGTGTTTTGGAATACCTATTCTTCTCAATGTTATCCATAATTTGTTATGATCCACACAATCAAATGCTTTTCCATTGTCAATTAAACATAAGTAAACATGTTTCTGGTATTCTTTGCTTTTAGCTAAGATCCATCTGACATCAGCAATGATATCCCTTGTTCCACATCCTCTTCTGAATACATCTTGCATTTCTGGAAGCTCTCTGTCAATATTCTGCTGCAATCATTTTTTTAATTATCTTCAGTAAGATTTTACTTGCATGCGATATTAATGATATTGTTTGATAATTTCCACATTCTGTGGGATCACCTTTCTTTGGAATGGGTACAAAACTGGATCTCTTCCAGTCAGTTGGCCAGATAACTGTCTTTCAAATCTCTTGGCATAGTCAAATCAATGCCTCCAGTGTGGCATGTGTTTGTTGAAACATCTAAATGGGTATCCCATCAATTCCTGGAGCCTTGTTTTTTGCCAATTCCTTCAGTGCAGTTTCTACTCCTTCCTTCAATACCATTGGTTCTTGATCATATGACATTCTTTTACTCTACCTATTTTCAATTATTTCCCCTTCCCTAAATATTTTTTTTTTCTTCTCTCTTTCTATTTATATTTCTTTTGTCTCTTATAAAATATTTCTTCTCAATTATTGCCTTTTCTTTTTGGTGATTGTTACTGTGTGGTTTGCAGTGTGTGTTTTTGGTCCTCTTATTTTTACATTTTTAGGTGTTTTATTGATTGTTGTATTTGTCTAACTGAGTGGGAGACAGCAGCCACGTCCATAAGACCACGTCCATAAGACCAAACCATACCCACACCTCCTGCAGTTCAATCTACTGAGTGAGGGCCACAACTTCCTTCTGCACCAACTGGCCAATGATACATGACAGCCAATATGAGCCTGACTCATTCTTGACTGATCTCCATAAACAGCTAACAGAGATCTGTGCATCTACTCTCAGTCTCTGTCACACCCATCAGGAGACAGGTGGTGAGTGAATAAGTGTTGCCAACTAGTAAATAGAGGAGCACAGTACCCTGCTTACTCAGATATAACAAAACAAAACAAAGGGGGAAAAAAAATCTTAGACAAATAACACCAACATACAATCACCAGTTAAATATAAATTTGTCACAATGTCTCAGAAACAACAGACAATCACAGTCCAAACACAAAAAAACAAGATGAAGCATTAGAAACAAGGTACCTGGATATAGACCCAAAAAACATCCCTGAGGAAGAAAAAGCATTGGAACTCCCTGATAAGGAGTTCAAAAGAATTATATTTAGGTGTCTTCAATGGATTGAGAGAGAAATCAAAGAAAACACAGAAAAAAACCTAGAACAATTTGGGAAGATAATGCAAGAACAAAATGACAAAATAAATGGAAAATTAGAAATGATACAAAATCTACAACTAGAAATACAGAAGTTAATACTAAAATTTCAGAAATACGTAACATATTGAACAAGCAAAGGAGTACAACTATATCAATGGAAGAGAAAATTACTGAGATTAAAGACAAAAACCTCAATATTACCTTGTTAAGTGATCAATCAGAAAAGAAAAAGATTTTTTAAAAAATGAAGAAAGCCTAAGATTCATGTGGGATACCATCAAGAAGAATAATCTACAGGTAATCAGAATTCCAGAACAGGAAGAGATAAATAAAACCACAGTGAAAATTGTCGAAGAGTTGTTGGAAGAAAGTTTCCCTCATATTATGAAAGAGAATATATCCATTCAAGAAGTATAATGAACCTCAAACAGGATAGACCCCAAAGAGAATCAGCAAGACATATCATCATCAAACTCATCAAAACCAAAGACATAGAAAGAATTCTGAAAGCAGCATAGAAAAACTAAAAGGTACCTACAAAGGGCAACCAATAAGACTAAGCTCTGATTTCTCAGCAGAACATATACAGGTGAGAAGACAATGGGATAGTGTAAATAAAAGAAAAAAAAAAAACCTTAACCAAGAATTATATATGCAGCAAAACTGTCCCTCAAATATGATGGTGATATT